CTTCCGTCCCGTTACGCGTTCGCGTCCTCTGCGTCTTTCGTCTCGCACGTCCTCCCGTCCTTGGTATCCTTACGTTCTTCGCGTCCTTCCGTCCTCAGTGTCGTCCCGTTCTTCTGTCTCGTTACGCGTTCCCGTCCTTATGTCGTCCCGTTCATGCGTCCTACGTCTCTCCGTCGTTCGGCGGTTCTCCGCCGCGTAGTCCGTCCTGTGATTGTTATCAGGGGGTAGGGTAGCCCATGATGAAAAATGCACCGTTGGTGCCGCTCTGAGGTTACCTCACCCTTTTAATTTTTACCCTTCCCGTCCCGTAGGGCTTTACCCGAGTCACCCGGTCCGTAATGTCGACGGGCCTTATTGCCGCGTAAGAACCGCGCCCCTCTGCCAAGGTTAGAGTGGCTGAGCTGGTCGGCCACGCCGGGATAGCCGATTCTGCCGGAGTCCGCCCGATACGGGAAACAAGGTGGTGCGGCCTTCTCCGCACCTGGCGCCCACTAATTCGGTGTTTCGCTTCGCGATTTCGGGCGGACGGAGTCCGGCAGAGGCCGGTGGCTGGGAGCGAACGTCGCGCTCCAGAGTACGTCGATTCCGACGACGGCGACGACGGGTCGAGGCCCCGCGCCCGAGCTCGCAGTCGTTATAGAGTTTTCGGTAGAGTGGGTTGCAAGTCCTCAGCTGCCTAGTCTGGTGGACTCGTGTCCTATGCATCCAGACGCTACATACCCCTGTCCCGTTCGCCCCGACCTGGCTTCCCACTGGGGTTGGCTACCCAATCTTCGTCCAGGTTGCTCGGGTTTCCATCAGTCACCAACTCGTGTCCTATGCATCCAGACGCTACATACTTCTGTCCTGTTCGTCCCGACCTGGCTTCCCACTGGGGTTGGCTACCCAATCTTCGTCCAGGTTGCTCGGGGTCCCAACAGTCACGCGGAGGTATGGACTAGGAGTTGGCTTACAGAGACTAAGGCGTGCTAACCGGAAGCCGCTCGCTGTGATCGCATGTTAGGCCCATTTGACTGACCATAATCGTGGATACCGTTGTGTAATTAATGGTTGGATTAATCGTTGGTGCGATCTCTTTTGCGCGTCAAGATTTCCGATCGTCGTTTAAGCCATTGTTTCCTGGCCGAAATCTGGTACCCATTGTACAATCTCTAATCTCAATTTGTAAGTTGCCAAATAACTTATATGTGAAATATAATTAGTTTCACCAACGGATTGATTATTCGAGAGCGTTTCACCTAACAGTCGAGCCTTCAGACAAGGTTGTTTCAGCAGTCATCGTTCAAAATATGAATACGTTCATAAGTTATTATTTAAAGAGAATACTTCAAATTTTCTTATGGTTACAATAAAATTGTTGCAAAAATAATTTATTGAACTTGGTAGAATTAATATTAATTTTTTACTAACACAGTTCTTTCCTCTCACAGTGTTCACTTTCGTGGGAAAATAAGAGTATTTAAATTTCAAAAAGCACTTACAGATAGGGGCTTGTACGTTTTATTCTATAAAATTTATAATATAGCGTTATATTATATTACTAATTGTTCCGTATGATTTTTCTCATCAAGCTGTAACATTTTAAAAGATGACACTTCTTGTTAGAAAAAAGTTTCCTTACTTTCTTTAGAATAATTACCATTTTTATAATTAATAACCTTTTTATATTTATATCGTAAAACGTGAAGCATGAACAATTGATACAGAAGCGAGAAAAAAGAAAATTTCATTTTTGAACATTTTTATGTGGATATATAAAGCCTGTTACAAAGTTACATGCAAAATGACGACAGTTATTTATAAATGCACGGAAAATTTGTTATAGAATAATGTATGTTTGTATATTATGTATAATTATGCGCGTGTGCGTGTGTATTACAGAAAGAGATCAGGACCCCATGGTTCGTCACTTCCACAGTATTTACCGATTCCAAACCCTCTCTATCTGTGTATGTGTATTTTTAAAAATGAAAACATAATAAGTTGAAAGCGATACATTTAAAAGCATTAATAATAATGTTCAAAAATCGTTTGTATTACAGAAAGAGATCAGGACCCCGTGGTTCGTCACTTCCACAGTATTTACCGACTCCAAACCCTCTCTATCTGTGTATGTGTAGGTATGTGTATGTGTATTTTTAAAAATGAAAACGTAATAAGTTGAAAGCGATACATTTAAAAGCATTAATAATAATGTTAAAAAATCGTGTGTATTACAGAAAGAGATCAGGACCCCGTGGTTCGTCACTTCCACAGTATTTACCGACTCCAAACCCTCTCTATCTGTGTATGTGTATGTGTATTTTTAAAAATGAAAACATAATAAGTTGAAAGCGATACATTAAAAAGCATTAATAAAAATGTTCAAAAATAAAAATAATAACGTCCAAAAGAAAAATTAACCATATTTATTCCAGGTCGAAATAAAATAATCGGTTTATTTGACTTGGATTATTTGGATGTGCTAACATTTTCCGCCCATTTCTCTTTTGGACATTATTATGTTGTAGATGACGAACTAGCTATTTCGTCAGCACCACATAAAGTTAGATAACTTTTTTCTCGTTTAGAGTCAGCTATATATAATTTGCCGGGTGACATACGAGACAAATGCTGTTCAGTTACTGCCATGTTTACAGCTGTTTCGCCCCTCGCCTTCAATGCTGATTTTATTACGCAAGTGGCATTAACAGTGGTTGAAGACAGTGAATTGCGTTTTTTTGTTTTTAAATCAGTTAAAACTGAAAACGTTCTCTCTGGATCTGCATTTGAATTGGGAAGACATCGAACAGCGCTCAGAAGATTCCTCAAATTGAGATATTTGTAAGTATTATTCAACGAGCGGCGTTGTAAGATTTCTTTCCACATCTCATCAAAATTTAATCTTGACAAATTCTCTTTTTCTTCAACAGTAAAATCTGCTGGTAATGCGAGCCACTCTTCTCTTAAGAAGTCTTCATTGAAACCACCGAGAGAAATGGCAACGGAAGAAACATGCTGGAATGAAGATTCCCTATTACTACAGAGTAAAGCTGTAGATGGTTCAAACACTTGTAATTTTGTCAAAAAATCATTTGTAATAGGCAATCTTTTACGTATTTCCTCCGCAGCAGTGAGGTAAAATTGTAAACAATTTTGTCGCACGATTGTAACTGTATCTATATGACCTTCTATCATTAGATTATTTAGATACTCTTCACAATCTGTTCCAAGAAAAATTTCATTTATGTCTTTCTGAATTTCTTTATGTGAAAAATTAATATTTGTGGTACGTCTTTTAGAAATTCGTTTTTAACGAAGTTTTCGCAGACTTGGGAGAGAAAGTTTGCAGATTTTAACCTCAATAAATGTATTCTCGTTTGTTCCGATTGGAAAAATGCATTGAATGCATTAAAGAAATTTAATATATATTTAAGAAATAGAAGATAAGGGTTTGAGACCCGACGTCTCAGCCTCTCGCGGAGGCATCATAGCGCCGGGCAAGCGTAAAGCGAGGGTTTGCTTGTCGCTATAATTCGCATCGATTTCGCATAAATCGGCTCGCGGCAGCCTGAGCCTTTGTCTCGACAGTCGTTCGATAATATTCTCTGGCTTCCCTCAGTGGTCGGGGGAGCGGTCTTTCGTGTCCTCTCGTCGAGACAAACACTCAGGCTAACAACATTCTCCAAAACATTGCCCGTGGCAAACAATTACGAGCGGTTTTGGAGAACGCGAAAATCAATTGTCTTCCCCGAGCGACACCGCGAGCATGCGCCACGGGCCGCGTCATCCGCGGAGCACCAATCCACCGCGCCGATCGGCCTTCCGCGCATGCCAAACGCGCGCGGTACCACTCAGGGCCGCGCGGGAACCAATGGTTCCCCGCGCCCTGAGAATCACCTTGGGAAACTCAAATTTGGGGGAGGCGATTGGCCACCGACGGCTCGAAACCGATATCGCCTCTCCCATAAATAGCGCGGATCCCCAAAATTCGCCGCCGTTCTGTCGTAGACTTGAAAGCATCGGTGTGATTTTGCTTCGCGAGAGTTCCTCCTTGTTGAAAGGGCTAAAGCGAGAGCCTTGTAGCGCGAGCTTGGTCGAATCAAGTCCTAAAACCCAGGCAGTTTTGCGTATTAAGTTGTTGATTAGTGTAAATTCGCGTGTGAATTAAATCAGTGATTGTTTAACACTTCTCTTGTGTCTTTTCTCGTGCCACATTTCCTCGCGCTCCAGTCTTCCACAGGCGCTCGCGAACATTCTGGTCCTTCGAGCCGGATCACATCTCCGGCAACCGCGCGTTCGGTAGCGCCAGTTCTGTCAAAGGAAATCAGTGCACCTACGGGAGAAGCAATCGGTCAGTCATGAGCCTAGATCAGGAAGCCTTGCTGATCAGCCAACGCGACGTTCATGGGCGCATCTCGCGCTCCATGGAGAATCTAAAAAAGATGGGCGCCGCGAATATCACCACAAGCGCCATCGAAACTCGCCTCCACCTCTTGGATCAGCTGTGGGCTAAATTCGAGACCCAACACGAGCTCGTTCGAGCCAGCTACAAGGAGGCGTATGAGAAAAGCGAGTACCGCACGTCTGGCTTTCCAGACACTGCCGAGGGTACTTACGTCCGGCAACGGAGCGCCCTCGTCGAGTGCGGTCGGGCACTGAGGGCCACGCAGGAGACGACAACCCCGGCCGTCGCGCCAACCATCGGGCAAATCGCCGAGCAAACTGCGAACACCTTGCTGCCTCGGATCAAGCTGAAGCCATTCTCTGGGAAGTTTGAGGACTGGCCGTCATTCCGTGACCTCTACCTCTCCATTATAGGAGAAAATCCGAAGGCGTCCAAGGTCCAACGACTCCAGTACCTCCGCTCATGTCTGTCCGGGCCCGCTGAAAGATTAGTGCAAACGTTACCTGTGACATCCGACAACTACGACCGCGCCTGGAAGATCCTATGCGATCATTACGACAATAAGAGAGAAATGATGCGCTCCAACTTTGCCACGTTTACCGCCGTGACCAAGATGAAGGCAGATACCGCGGACGAGCTCAGCCGCATCCATCAAGCCGTCGTCACCATCGTGAACTCCCAGGAGAGCATCGGCAGGCCGATCAAATCAAACGGTATGGATCTCCTCAACCATTTGATCGTCGAGCTCTTCGACCCGCAGACCCGCCTCGAGTGGGAATCCTCGACCAGCGATTCCGTTGATCCACCCGCTCACGAAACACTCACTCACTTCATCACTCGGCGCATCTTGACACTGAACGCGGTGAAGCCACGGGCGAACTCAAAACCGGCATAGGAAACTCGCACCGCTAGATCTCACTTCGCCAAGCCAGAAGCCGAAACGCAATGCGCACTCTGCAAGGGCAACCACTCACTCATGAGGTGTGAAGAGTTCAAAGCAAAGTCCACCTCTGACCGGAAGTCCTTCGTTGAAACCAACCGCCTGTGCTTCAACTGCCTTGGACGCCACCAGGTCTCCAAATGCGCCTCCACAAGGACGTGTCTGACGTGCAAATCCAGACACCACTCCATGCTCCACGAGGAGAAGACTCCACCGAGAGCCGCGGAAGCCAGCGCTCTCACCGCAGTGCAGCGTTCCTGCGACAGCAAGGCCACTCTGCTGGCGACTGCTCGCGTCTTCGTTGCCGACCGCTATGGGGATCCCCACGCAGTTCGGGCCCTCCTCGACCAGGGCTCCGAGGTGTCAATCATTTCGGAAGCCATGACCCAACGCTTACGGCTGCCGCGACTTCCGTCCTCCATGTCGATCCTCGGCGTGGGTGGCATCTCATCTGGATCAACTCGTGGCAGGGTAACGCTCACCATCACCGCCAAGGTCTCAAACGCCGAACTCCAAGTCTCCGCGTTTGTCCTGCCTCGCCTGTCTCTCTATCGGGGCACCTCTACGCCAGGGGACGCCAAGTGGCCCCACGTCCAAGGTCTTGCGTTGGCTGATCCGCAATACCTGGACAACGATCCTATCGAACTGCTTCTGGGCGCAGAGGTCTGCTCAACCATCCTCCAGGAAGGCCTGCGCAGAGGCGGACCGCAATCCCCCATCGCACAGAAAACTGTCTTCGGGTGGATCCTCTCCGGGGGCTGCAGCGCCGAGTCACTTCACGGCCGTCCCAGCTCTCTACACTGTGCAGCTGATCACGACCTGATCCAGCTCGTGCAGACCTTCTGGGAACAGGAACGGGAGCCCTCGCCTCCTCCCCTCCTCTTCCCCGACGAAGAGATGTGTGAGACACTCTTCACCCGCACGGTTAGCCGCACGAGCAGCGGGCGCTACGTAGTGCGCCTGCCATTCGCCGAGCCGCCTCCTGCCCTGCACGAGACACGCCTGCCAGCCGAGCGACTCCTGGCCGCCATGGAGCGCAAATTCACCCGCGACGGAAGGTTCAGAGAGCTGTACACGGCCTTCATGCAAGAATACCTCGAGCTGCAACATATGTCAGCGGTCCATCCTTCCGACAAGGGCCAAGCACGATGCTACTTGCCGCACCACGGAGTGCTTCGCGACGGCCAGCCCGATAAGCTCCGGGTGGTCTTCAACGGTTCACAACGTACGAGGTCCGGTGAGTCCCTGAACACAAAATTACTAGTCGGAGCCAATCTCTTGCCATCACTCGCAGACGTGTTGCTCCGTTGGCGGTGGCACCGGTTCGCCTTCGTCACGGACATTGAGAAGATGTACCGGCAAATTCTCATCCACCCCGAAGACCGCGACCACCAACGAGTCTTGTGGCGAGCGGACCGCAAGGGGGACGTTCAAGAATTCCGCCTCAACACGGTGACCTACGGGCTCGCGTGCGCGCCATTTCTCGCGATCCGTACGCTGCACCAGCTTGCCGAGGACGAGGGCGCGCGACACCCGCGAGGAGCCGCCGCGCTCCGCCACGATTGCTACGTGGACGACATCGTAACCGGAGCACACTCACTTCACGACGCGATCGCATTGCAGACGGAGCTGCGCGAGCTCTGTACGGCGGGCGGATTCCCGCTGAGAAAGTGGGCGGCAAGCCACTCCGAGATCCTCAGAGGAGTCCCGCCCAATCACCGGCTTCAGACGCCACCGCACTCGTGGAACAACCAAGGTCATGCCACCCTCGGCCTTCGCTGGCACCCGAAGGATGACCAGTTCTCCTTCGTCATTCGCCCCCTCATCGAAGTGGCACTCACGAAACGACGAGTTCTCGCCGAAACCGCTCGGCTCTTTGATCCACTGGGCTGGCTCGCCCCGGTGATCATCCGCGCAAAGATCCTTATCCAATCCGCCTGGCTGCAGCGGATTGATTGGGACACGCCGCTCCCCGCTGATGATGTGCTCCGCTGGAAGGGCCTTCTCGACGAGCTTCCTCTCCTCGATCATATCCGGGTGAACCGTTGGCTCGGCTGCGACAGCGAGGACTCACAACTGGAGATGCACGGGTTCGCCGACGCATCCGAGCGGGGATACGCGGCCGTGGTGTACCTTCGCTCTTCGATTTCAAACGTCCCCTCGCTTCACTTACTGGCGGCCAAGAGCCGGGTCGCCCCTGTAAAACAGGTGTCCGTGCCACGACTTGAGCTCTGCGCTGCGGCACTGCTCGCCAACCTTGCGCAACATCTTCGCAGCACACTCGATCTCGGCGCGACTCCAGTGTATCTGTGGTCCGACTCCAGCGTGACACTGCACTGGATCCAGGGGCACGCCTCACGCTGGAAAACCTATGTGGCCAACCGCGT